GTTTTTTATAAAATTAAAGTTTCATACTTTTAAATATTAAAAATTATAAAAATTATAAAAAAATAATTTTAAAATATAAAAATAAGAATTTTAAATATTAAAAAAAACAATTTGGAGACATTTGGAAAAAAAAGATAGGCAAAAAAAAATTGAGACAAGAAGAGTATGTAAAAAATAAAATTGACAGTAATTATATATAAATTTAAAAACTAAATATATATTTTTTATTTTAACATATTTATAACATAATAAATTTTATATTTTATAAGAATTTGAAAGAAATACAACTATAGCAAAAGTTCAAACTTTCACCTCACTTGCCGTTCCGGAGCTCTAATTATGAGAAGAAAAAGGCAAGTGGCAATAATCGTTAAACAAACTGAAGTAATCAGCATCTTCCCTGGAAATATAGACAGACAAGAAGCAATCAGAATTCAGTGCACCCATTACTACAAGTGAGAGCCAAACTGAAGAAGCGACCGAATCAATGGGAAAACCTTGCAACTTCAATCATCAATTTCTGCTTCTTCTATTCCTCTCTCTTCTTCTAGGCCTCACAAATTCAACAGCAGCGCTAAACCAAGACGAGCAATCCAAAATCATATCAAGATTCCAAGAATACCTTCAAATCAACAGTGCCCAACCATCCCCTGACTATCAGAAATCAACCCACTTCATCCTATCTCAAGCCGATTCCCTTTCTTTGGAATCCCAAGTCATTGAATTCGTCAAAGGCAAACCAGTTGTTCTCCTCAAATGGCCAGGCTCCGACCCTTCCCTTCCTTCTATCCTCCGTAACTCTCATACGGATGTCGTCCCCTCTGAACACTCAAAGTGGGTCCATCCTCCTCTTGGGGCCCACCTCGATGAACAAGGTAATATCTTTGCTTGAGGCTCCCAGGATATGAAGTGCGTTGGCATGCAGTATCTGGGGGCTATTCGTAAGTTGAAGTCTTCTGGGTTTCAGCCAAAACGGTCTCTTTACTTGTCCTTTGTTCCTGATGAGGAGACTGGTGGCCATGATGGTGCTGTGAAGCTAGCTTACTCTGATGTCTTCAAGAATATGAATGTTGATGTAGTGCTTGATGAAGGTAAAACCAAAGTCAACTACTTTTTTATATTTATTTTCTTAAAAACATGTAATACCATGTTTGAAAAGGCCGATAGTGAGGGCCTATTAGAATTTATAAGTATAATAGTTGGGTCTTTTCCCCTTCTTAATCTTAGACTTTTGAACAATTGGTCTTCCAGCTATCTCTTAGTGATGGTAATATGTGTTTTGAGAAACAGGGTTGGCTTCCCCCAGTGATAATTAGAGGTTATCTTATGGGGAGAGGACTCCATGGTCGCTGGTAATAAAGGCTACCGGAGCTCCTGGACATGGGGCGAAGCTCTATGATAATAGTGCTATGGAGAGCCTTTTCAAGAGCATTGAGAGTATCAGGAGGTTCCGGGCTTCACAGTTTGATTTGATCAAGGCAGATTTGAAGGCTGAAGGGGAAGTCATTTCGGTTAACATGGCCTTTCTGAAGGCTGGCACGCCTTCTCCCACTGTAAGTCTCCAGAAATTTAGGTGCTGAAACCTTTGCTTTTTTAACTCCCTGTGTTAATTTACATGTATTACTATTAATTACGTATGTCTTCAGTTGATATTATTGTGCTGTACCGAAGCATGAGTTGTTTTTTCTTAATAGTTTAGCCTCATATTTTTATCATAAAAGCACAGAAGACATAACCCATATTGCATTTAATTGTCAAATTGTTGTTTACTATTCATATTTCTTATTGTGGAATCTGTAACTGTTCTTGTGGCTTTCCTGACTAGAGCTGGTTTTGATGTATTAAAACCTTAAGAGCCGTTATGAGTTTCTTCTAATTTCTTTCTTCAAATATTTAGGAAAAATGAATCAAATGGGAAATCTATTTTTTATTAAAATAATTAGTGTATGAATCTTTACACGAGACATGAGGTGCACATTGTTTGACACTAATAATATGAAGCATCCTTGTGAGGCTTTTACTGGATATGAGATGTAAGTCATGAGCATTGATGGAATAGAAATAACTTCTCAGTGATTGCAAAAGTTGATTTCCTTGTGTCGATTTGAAGTCTTTAGCAGGGATCATTTAGACATTAAATATGTTAAGTATCTATCAATTTGCAAAGCTGTGGCATGCTTGCATTGTTTCATTGAAGATGGAAAACAATGTGCATTAATTTTTGTCTCATAGTTCCTTAAACCACTGTGTTGCTAAATGAACTAAAGTACTAAACTTTCTGAGCTAAAAATGTTCAGTCATTTAATGCATGGTTAGTTAGGCCTTTTGGCCTATCTTTCTCTTTCCAACTATTACATATGATCATTCTGCTGGTCTTTCATCAATTTCGTTGCTATGAAAGTAGCCATGTATATTCTTTGCATTAATGTAAAAAATAGTGATAGATGTGATAGCTGCCTCTAATATGCCCAGGTTCTTTGATATTTGTCTGCCAGGGTTTTGTTATGAATTTGCAGCCATCTGAACGAGAAGCTGGTTTTGATATTCGAGTACCACCAACAGCTAATACAGAATCCTTGGAGAAATGGATAGCTGAGGAATGGGCGCCTGCTTCACGAAACATGACATTTTAGGTAGGACTGAAACATTTCTCTCTTAGAAAAAAATTGGCATTCAGTAATAAATAAAAGAGTGGTGTACCATGTTTTCAAAAACTTTTAGCACAAAATTTCATGGGATCTTGCAATGCTGGACTTGGGATCAACATGGTGGCATCCTGTGTTTTGTTCTATATTTTTTTCTGCTCATTTTATCAGAAATATGACATTAAACACTCCCCCTCTCCCGCTTTTCAGAGATAGTGACATTTGTCCATTTGTATCAATTTGGCATCATCTGAGTCACTGTAAATACAAGATTGGTGCAATATTCCAGGGGAAAAAGTTGATTAAATTTAGGAAAAGAAAAGGATTGCAAAACTGCCCACTTGTTTGAGTTTCATATGGTGTTTTGCCCTTTGTTTGCTTTCTGAACTAATTATTTCTGTCTGCAGTTTAAGCATGAGAGTTCTTTGCATGATGCCCCGGGTAAGCCATTCCTAACTGCCACTGACTGTTCTAATCCATGGTGGACTCTGTTGGAAGAAGCTGTCAAGAAAGCTAATGGAAAGATCGGGAAGCCAAAGATTTTTCCTGCCTCAACAGATTCTCACAATTTTCAGCAACTGGGCCTGCCAGCTATGGCTAACACTCCTATTTTACTTCATGACCATAATGAGGTAAACTTTGTATTATTATTATCGTTATCATCATTGTCATATGTTGATGTGCATGCTTGCATATTTATGCACATTTCCTCAAGTGCCACAGGTCCTCATACTCAAGATTGTGATGCATGTTTTCTTTCTACATTTTGGTTTTGGGTGGGTTATGAGTAGGGGTGAAATCAAGCTGATATAGTTGCCAGCGCAAGCTTGGCTGAGCTTTATTTTTTGTGCTCAAGCTAGGTTCAAAATAATCAAGCTACTCAAGTTCAACTTGATAATCATTCATTTATGTAAGGAGCTTGAAACTCGACTTGAGCTTGGGTTTGAGCTCAAGTTCAAAATAAAAACCCAAATAAAACTCTAAAACATGTAAATAAATATTATATTTTATTTATATATGTATATAATTTTAGAAAATATTTATAAAATTAAAAAAAAAAAACTTGATAAGCCTCACCGGTATTCAAGCTGAGTATTACAAAGCTCAAACTTGGCTCTGACTTGTTGGTCAAGTACTCAAGGCTCAAGCTTGGCTCAGCAACGAACAAGTCGTATTCATGGAGTTGAGCTTGAGAACATAAGTAGCTTGACTCATTTATTAATTGGCAGAGTGATACTTTTGTATTTGATGTATGTATGATGAGTGCAAATAGCCGAAACCTGACGTAATGTTAACCACAAAACTCTTCATTGAGCATTCAAGAAGAAACAATTTCTTGTCGTGTGCATTTTGGATTCTATGTGTTGCAACTGGCTAGTGGTATCTGATGGAAAATGAATTGTGAGCATTTATGGCTAACCTTTTTCTGATATAGAGTATTTAAACATTCGACTTTGTGAATGAGTTTGACCAAGGTGATCTGATATGTGAATGTATGTGAGTGATAGAAGAACTAAAGCCCCTTCCAGTTGTCTTTCACTGCTAAGGTTTTACTTTGACCTAGGCTGCAGTTCATGTATCAACTGGATTTTTACCATTGGAACCTTAAGAGTGCAGCTTTCATTCTTTTCTTGTTGTTTGTGTATTGGACTGAAAACTCAGTCTGGGCAAAGACAGTCAACGGATATGATTGCCCTCTTAAGTGATTTCCATTCTACCATAAGTATAACATGACCGAAGACTAGCCCATCATTGCAGCTATTTGGTATTCTGATTGGTGGAGCATTGTCTTTAATATGTATAAAGTCTTTTCGTTGCTTTTCCTTGTTCAGTTTCCATCTGAATTTTAATAAGTTACTTACCACTTGCTGCAGCAAACTTGCCTCGTTCTTGGTTAGATTATTGTCTTTTAACCTTTCTTATTTTAACTTAAAAATAATTATAGCTATGCCATGCCAAGTAGTTTAAATTCTGATGCTAAAACAACTAATGAACTTGATGAATATGTTTTGGGTGGTATTCATTGCAAAGGATGCTAGCAACTGGCAGTCATGTGATCTGACTCTAGTCTTTTCTACCGTACTGCAGTTTCTAAACAAAGCCGAGTACTAGAGAGGAATTGATGTGTACGAGTCTATTATCAAAGTGTATCTATCATATATCCCACCTGGAAGAGATAGACTTTCAAGAGACGACTTGTAAGGGACCAGCAGGGCTTATCGTCTTCCTCAAGTGATAACTATTAGTTTCTCTCTCTGCCTCGTACCATAAGGGGAATGGAGGTAGGGTTATAACAAGGGAAGCAGTTTTACCACACATCTATGCCGAAGAGAGCTCATTCATCATGCAATTTCCTGGATGATGTACTATTTGAACGTGCTTGATGAGATGTGTCATGTTTCCTTCCTGTCAGAGCATTTCATTTTCACAGTTCTAAGTTGTCAAAGTTTTGCTTGGTGGTGGTGATGACTATAGATGATTCAATGATTGTCTGCAGTGTTTATTACTATCAATTTATTAACTGTTTATAATCATAAAATCACAAACAATACGGAATGCTAGGATTGTCCTCTGCTTTCAATAGCCCATATACTGATGTACAACTGGGCTTCTTCAAAGGAACTTGTTGTGTCATTTGTAATAGAATAGAATTCAAACCCATTATTCAACAAAGCAACTGATTAGAAAGGGTCATTGGACCACATCATGACTTGCTACCAAAAGTCACCACAGGAACATACTCCATTCTGAAAATGATGGTAACGAATAGGATCTCTGATGACAATAAGCCGACAATCCATCTTTGCTACAAGCTTTGCAAAGGTATGACAGTCTCCACAGATCCTAAGGTTTTTTCTGATCCTAATAGCACTTCCGGTTGACAAGCTAATCAAACCAAATACAATTGCCAACTTCTCACTATGATAGCGAAGTGAGTCGTCTCTCTGTTCCCCCTCAAGATCTTGCAGAACAAAATTAGTGTCTGGAACATAGCCCATTCCCATTAATTTGTGAATTAACTGATTTAGCCGCCTGTTGATTTCGTTGATCTTTGGATGTGCAGTATCTCCTAAAATGAAAGCATGAATTTGCTTGTTCACTTCAATCCAGCTGGAGCCTGGCGCCTTTTTGATGCCCTTGTCTCTCATTGCCCTCCTAATTTCAGAGACATCTTCCCACCTCTCAGAATTTGCATAAATATTGGACAATAGTACATACGTCCCTGCATCTCCAGGATCTAGTTTTAGAACTTGTTTCGCAGCATATATAGCTAAATCCACATTACGGTGAACCCTGCAGGCACCAAGCAAAGTTCTCCATGTCACAGCATCTGGTTCACATTCCATTTCCTGAACCAACTTCACTGCCTCGTCAAGCTTGCCGGCCCTTCCAAGAAGATCAATAATGCAACCATAGTGTTCCCTACCTGGGTCAATCCCGTAAAGTTTCTTCATTGATCTAAAATAATACCACCCATCATCCACAAGGCCAGCATGGCTACAAGCAAAAAGAACCCCAAGAATAGTTATATAATTAGGTTTCATACCTGAAGCTTTCATTAAATCAAAGAACTTTAATGCCTCTCGGCTAAACCCATTTTGAGCTAACCCTGCAATCATTGTACTCCACGAAATCACATCCCTATATACCATCCGCTCGAAAACAGACTTTGCATCCTCCAAACTACCACTCTTACAATACATATCCAAAAGTGCATTATTGAGTATCAAATCCACATCAAACTTTAACACATGAACATGAACTTGCCTCCCTACTTCCAGCAGAGCTAACCCTGTACAGGCTCTCAAAACACTTGTTAGTGTGGCTTGATCAGCAGTAAAGCCAGCTCTTTTCATCCTCTTAAACTGATTCAAAGCTTCATCACCATCACTATTCTGGGCCAACCCTCCAATAATAGAATTCCAAACAACCAAGTCCTTAGTTTCCATTTCATTAAAAACGCAAATTGCGTCTTTCAACTCATCCAATTTTGAGTAAACATCAATAAGAGCACTCCTAACAAAAACATCAGATTCTAAACCCACCTTAATTATGCCACAATGAAGCTGCCTAAGATTGACTAACCCATTACACGCTCTCAAAACCGAAGAAAACGTATACATATTAGGCAACACGCCTCCTCTAAGCATTAAAACAAAGAATTCCAACGCCCTGTCACTTAGTTTAGCATTAACATAAGCAGATATTATTGTCGTCCAAGAAACAACATTTCTCTCAGGCATTTGGTCGAACAATGCCTGCGCTTGCTCTAATAAGTTAAACTTAACAAACATAGCGATGAGAATGTTGAAAAGAAACGTTTTTGGTTGATAACCATTAGAAAAAACGTGCTTGTGAACGAGCTTGCCTTGTTCAACAGCGTTGCGGGCTAAGCAACACTTGATCAATTCAGAGTAGGTGATTGCATCAGCATAAATACCGTGCCTTTCCATGGCAGCCATGGCTTTCATAGCCCTGGGAAGGTCCCTTCGATAGCAGAAGTTTATGAATTCATCTAGCAGAGTTGATGAAGGCGGGTTTCTGGGGTTAGTACGGGAGGCAAGAGGAGCTAGAGAATAAGACCACGATAATGAAGAAGGTGAAGTTCTTATGTGTTTTATCTTCCCTGATACGGCTTTCATTGCTTCGTTTTATCGGTTTTCATAATTTCTCTTCTAGAAGAATTTCAATTGCTATTTGAAGTTGAAATTCCTTTGGTTTCGCCTTGCATTTTCTTTCTCTCGCAAATGAGAAAAAAGAAAGCAGAAGGGGAGAGGAGAACACAGTGTTTATGGAGGAATAATCTGTGGGCTGTGATGCGCTTGAATCGACAATAATCAATCAAACAACTCAACACAGCTATTCGATCAACAATAGAGAGGTGAGAAAAAGAAAGTAAACGAAAATAGCAGAACAATCAAGAAAAGGCAGAGATAGAAGAGAATGAGAGGAATAACCAATCTCAGTATATATATATATATATATATATATATATATATATATATATATTCATTTAGCAAGAAGGGGTCTTGGGCTGAAAGCACATCTCTTTTTCGTCGATTCAAGTATTCATCTATGTCAAACCTACTGAATTCATTCATGAAAAAATATTTTCTCCATACTCTCCTTTCACTTTGAGCCGTCCCTCGGTGAATCTCAGTAATTTTCACTCAATAAACGCAGACTCTAAATTAACTGAAGCCCTCATAATTGGGCTGGACAACTTCGGAATAACCAACTCAGAATTTGGGCTTGCAACAGGCTGGGATGAGACGAGAAGGCAAAGTGGGCCTGTTCCTTAATAAAAACATAAGGTTGAGAATCGGCTGCTCTTTCCGTTCACACATTTTATTTTTATTGAAAAAGAAATTCTTGTATATATACCAAAAAAGAGAACAGGGAGGGATTGTTTTTCGGCGATTGTCCATAGTTTGCCTTTGATTCGGTGAAGTACCTTCCTTTCTATTGTTTCTTTCATCGGGGTTGGGGCTTCTCTCGATTCATTCATTCTTTACAATAAAATGGAAAGTATCCGCTGAAATAATGGAACAAAAGGGCTCTTCTGTGATGCTCGATCCACTCAACTGAAAGAGATTGGAAGTGACTAACAGTTCTAGTTCGGTATAGAGAAGAGAAAAGAAAAGGGTGAGGAGGAAGAGAAGAAAGAGATGTCGCTGAGAATAAAGGCGGTGGTGGATAAGTTCGTGGAAGAGCTGAAAGAGGCGTTGGATGCCGACATACAAGACAGAATAATGAAGGAGAGAGAGATGCAAAGTTACATCGAGGAACGCGAGCGCGAAGTCGCTGAGCGTGAAGCCGCCTGGAAGGCCGAGCTCTCTCGCCGCGAGGTACGCTTTTCTTCTTATCTTTGCCTTTTAAAGGAACAAAAGTGCGAAACTTTAGTTGATTGACATCAAAGGTAGCTGCTTGGTTGCGCTTCATTGCAAGTATTTTTTAACTTTTCAAGCTCATGGAAAGTGAGATTGATCGGTACTGATATTGAAAACAGTCTTTGATGATTGAATTTCTTTTGGATGATTCTTGAATTGATTACTTTTTTTTTTTTGGGGGGGGGGGGGGGGGTAGGCAGAAGGGTCAGTTTCTCAAATAGAGAAATGAGAAATCTTTATGATTATTGTTCGTTAATTCTTGCAACAAGATGTTAGTAAATTTAGAGAATTGTGATTTGAGTTAGCATAATAGCAGTATATAAAGTACATCATATTGCGTAAGTGTATACCGTGGGCTGTTTCTTGACTAGGTCTGTTTTGTTCTTCTGAAAAAAAAAATTTTCTCTTCCAGGCAGAAATTGCCCGACAAGAGGCTAGGCTGAAGATGGAAAAAGAAAACCTTGAAAAAGAGAAAAGTGTCCTAATGGGAACAGCATCGAATCAAGATAACCAAGATGGAGCTCTTGAAATCACTGTAAGTGGTGAAAAATATAGATGCCTCAGGTTCGCAAAGGCAAAGAAATGAGGCTTTATAAAGAAGATGAGGAAAAAAAAATACAAGGATAATGCGCTTGATGTCTTTGCTAAAATTTGCTGGAGCCAGTTCGCTATTTTATAATTTTATTCATCCTAGATGCATTGATTATATACATGTAATGTAGGTTTGCTTTCGGTAAAATCTATTCATCTATCAAGTATACAATTCCATTTCAATGAAGAAAAAAAAAATTGTGCTGGTGATTAACCAAAATAAAACAAGTTGCCAGTCCTTTTCGCATTTCTTCTTTGATGATACTTATAATTAGCATGGTTGAGTATTTATATTGGTGCTTGTTTTCAAACCCAATCGGTCAAATTCCTTCCTTTGCCCAAGTGTCAAAGGTTTTTTTCTTTTTCTTTTTGGAAGTTCCATCAAGATCTCGCGAATCCTCTTGAAAGAGAAGGGTGCCTTCACGGATACAGATGGTGCAACACTGCCGTCAGCTCACACCAAAACTAATAAAATGAGAAAACTGATTAATCTCGTGTTGAATTCACTCAGTTGTAAATGCATTTGACAAAGTAGCTTTGCCCAAATCGGGGAGTTCTTACGTTTTATGTTAGACTTATAATATTCAGTTCAGGAGAGGGATCTGTGAAGATTGATCGATGCCGAGGCATGGTGTAGAATCCAGTGGTTTATGACCCACCAGACCAGAGTTCCAGTAATTAAGATTAAGATGTTTGAGAAGGGGATTCTCTGTCAAACAAGGTGCATAAGGAAAACGTGTGACAAGAAGAGCGACCAGCCCACATCAAATTCACGAAAATATTAGCTTTCTAACATGACAACTTGGTGTTAACAAAGCGTACAAGCAGGCTGCCTGTGCATGAAAGGCAAACCCTGAATTTTTTTTTCTGTTTTGAGATTACATTGGATTTTGTTCAAGAATATTATGTGGATCTTTATTAGTGGTTGTGTAAATGGTAAGGCATGTATTTCACCTCCCAAAATTGTACTCCTGTGAAAAAAAAAAAAAAGAACAGAATTCTGTGATTGAGATGGTTAATAACTTCAGAAGTAGCGGAAGGGAGTTAACGGCAGTTATGGGAACTCCAGATTCCCAAAAGGCTGCCCTTTGCAATTGTCACTTGAAAATTCAAACCATCCCAGTTGGCCTGGTGTGGCATTATATTCTTTGGCTGATCTCAGTCTATAACAAGTCTACGAGAATACTCTCACACAACTGCAGGGATCAACAGCAAGAAGATAACACATTGTAGGAACATAAGCCTCGACATTCGCATGAAATTGCTCTTGGTGTTTTTGTCCTTTTGCTTCAATGGAGTTTTTGCTGGAGGAAGTGGAGGGAGAACAGCAGGTGTAGGAACTGAAGGCTTTGAACATGGAAGAGGGCTATCATATAACAATGGAAGGAGGTCTCATTTCTTTAATGTCAAGAGATTCGGAGCTCGAGCCGATGGACTGACCGATGACAGCAAAGTTTGTTTCCTTCTATTTATTTCTCCATTGAACTCATGCAGAGAGTAATAGCTGCATCGTTTAAAATTCCTAAAATGGCTTTAAAAAATTCGACTAAAAACCTCAGTTGTTTACTTTCCTGTTTTGACGTTCAACATACTATGATGTGATAGGATCTACACCTATATGACTGGAGTGGTTTGAATTTTTTAGAGTAACAGACAAGATAAAATCATGATAGTTTCATCAGATGTTATTTTTTTCCCGTAGATAATTTTGTTTGACTTGTTACTTTCAAGGCCTTCAGAGCAGCATGGAAGAAAGCATGTCAAGCTACAGGTGAGGTAGACCTTGTGATTCCAAAAGGGACATACTTGGTTGGCCCTGCAAAAATGTGTCTAAAATAACAGTTCGTGTTAAGGTAATTCTGAATACTTCCTGGCTTACTTTCTTGTGTCCCTTCTGCATTTCCACATATAATTTTAACAATGATTGAGCAAGAAGCTTTCAGGGTTATCCGAAGGCAACAAAAAACTTGTCTAAATATGAAGATGGTGCTGGTTGGGTTGAATTTCGATGGCTGGAGGGGCTGACCTTGACTGTAGGAGGGACCTTTGATGGGCAGGGTGCCAAATCATGGCCTTACAATAGGTGCTCCGCTGACTTTAGCTGCAACCTTCTTCCAACTGTATGTTTCATAACCTTTTAACCTCAAACATTTTATTATTTTAGCTCTAATAAAATGTATTTGCAAGTTGTCCTTTTTTTTATATCTTGCTCTTGCACCCCAACGGCTTCTAGTCAGACCCAGGGCTTAAGGATTAAAAGAAACATTGCTTTTTTGCAGCCTGCATGAAGCCAGTATTTGTGCATTTACAAGTCATATTAGGTTGCAGATCAAACTTAATGTGGAAAAACTTTCTTTTTAATAGAATGTAAAATTTGCGGCGATGAATATGACAATTGTAAGAAGCATAACATCAGTAAACAGCAAGTTCTTCCATATGGCTCTTGTCGAATGCAATAACTTCAAGGGCAGTAAAATCAAGATTTCTGCCCCAGCAGATAGTCCTAACACTGACGGTATCCACATTCAGCGAAGCTCCAGTGTCCACTTTTCAAGATCTGTTATTGGTACAGGTGATGACTGCATATCTATTGGACAAGGAAATTCTCAAGTCACCATCACAAGCATCAGCTGCGGGCCAGGTCATGGCATCAGGTACTCTTTAACTTTCTCATTAATGTCTGCACCCTATTCCTCTTTTCTCCATTAGTTGTATCCCTTACCCTCTACTTTGATCTACAAAATTAAAAAATTCTTGTTCTTTGATTGCCTATTATAGCGTTGGAAGTCTAGGAAGATACAAGGATGAAGGTGATGTAACTGGATTGGTGGTTAGAGATTATACCATGACAGGGACCACAAATGGCATTAGGATCAAGACATGGGCTAACTCTCGGGGCAGAAGTGCTGCCACCAATATGACATTTGAAAACATTAAGATGAAAAATGTGACCAATCCGATTATAATCGATCGGGCATATTGTCCATTCACATCTTGCAACCCAATGGTAAGTACTCCAGTTGACAATACCTATAGTTCTGCTATATCCAGAAAGAAACTGACCAGAAAAAGGCCAAAAATGATCGAGTGCAGGGACCATCGCAAGTGAAACTGAGTGACATATATTTCAAGAAAATAAAGGGAACATCATCATCTGCAGTGGCAGTAGCACTAGAATGTAGCAAAGGGATTCTATGCCAGGATATTTACCTTCAAGATGTTCACTTGGAGCTGGCATCAGGGGAGAAACAAGCTACTTCCACTTGTCAAAATGTTAGGGCTAAATACATTGGCATCCAAATCCCACCACCATGTGCCTAGCTTTCTTGTTAAGGCAGAATTTTGATATTTTCAAGTTACCCTGCAATGAATTAGCAATATATATATATATGCAGTTCGTGAAGCTGTTCTGTGCTGGCAATCCCTGGATAGTTTGATTACTGTTTGACTGGTTCTCATGCTTAACACGAAACAGCCAAGTAACCTTTTGGAAACTAAAACAATAAAATGTATATATATATATATATATATATATATATATATATATATATAATGCAAAGACCAAAGATTGGTTTTTTTTTTTTGGATTCATAATGCATAACTATTCTTTCAGTCAAAACTTAAAGAGTCGTGTTTTCTCTTTCTCCTAGGAAAGTCGCATAATGAGATAGGAAAATGAATTATATTTATTGGATTTTTAATTTTACGTAAATCAATTGAATTATTGAAAAAAAAAAACAATTGAATTAAGTTTTCGTACACTTAACATGTATATTTTATGACAATTAAATACTAAATTAATGGTAATGTCAAAGGCTTAGGTGAAATTAATTCAAATTAATAGTAGTAGTACAATAAATATTTCCAAACATAGTAGTAATACTATATAATAAAAGAAAAAAGAGATAGGTTAGATTGGCATATGAGAAGAAAGAAAACTATTTACTTGTTTGATTACAAAATTGAAAGTAGAAGAAAGAAAGAGGTTATATAATTCTTTGTTCTTGAAAACGTGTATAATATTAATTAAAATCTTATCCACGCAATATTGCGAGAATTACTCTCTAAAGAAAAAAAAAATTGAATAAAATCATACTACACTAATTATGTATCATACATCAATAATGAAACTAAAAGTTCACTATTATTAACAATTTCAAAGACAATTAATTATAAAAAAAAAAATGAAATGACTTATAGAAAAATTCAAGGATCTTCAAACTTAAACAAATATCCCTACAAAAGAAGCTATATGATAATAATAGACAAAATTAAAACTAACAAGATTAATTGAGGCCACTTTATTATTCATGTCTTAAAAGTGGCAACATTAATACATTTATAGTTTAGAATAAACATCCACAAATATCAATTAAGTAATAACAAAAATAAAATATAAATTTCTTATGGCTACCTTTATCAAAATAATTGCAATAGTGCATAGCAGAACTGCTGATGAGAAGAAAAATAAAACTTAATGAAATCAATATATATATATTTATTAGAAACAAATTCTACACTATCAACATCATAAAAGATTAATCATATCTATCATATAAATATCGATTGAATTTCATAAATAAAATATTTTTAAAAAGTCACACTATAAGAGTCAAATAAATCCAACCTTCAAAGCATAAAAAAATTAAAGCCAACAGTGAATGGCAAACTTACTAGTAAAAAAAATAACAAAATTTAATAAAATTAATATATATATATATATATATTTAGCAAAAAATTTTGCACTATCAATATAATAAAAAATTAATCCTTAACTACCGTCTAAAAATACAAAATTATAAATTCAAATCCAACTTTCAAAGTGTAAAGAAAAAAAAATCTAAAAACCAAAATAGCTTTAATTGCATTTAAAGTGTTCTAAAAAATCAACAAAACCTTGACAAAAAAATTCCAAGATAACCATAAAGAAAAAAAAAACATTACTCACATCCAAAATAATTCTATCAAATTGAGAATAACCTAAAAAAGTAAATAAACAAAAAATTAGTTTATTAAACAAAAAAAATTAAACAAATAACTTAAGAAAAAACACATGCATAAAAGTGTGAAGACACAAATCAATTCCTTGTATCAAAAAAATATAAGGATCAAACTAAACAACCAAGCAATGTTATCACCATTTTTGTGGGTTCACAAAAAAGAATTAACTTTTAACTTCAAATTAAACAATCAAGTAAATGTAATAACAAAATATAAGAATTAAAAAAAAAAAAAGAGAATAACATACCGCAAGAAAAATAATCAACAAGTGAAGTGACTATAAACTTAAATTCAAGCAAAAATAAAAAATTAATATTTCAATCAAGAAATAAATCTCTTTGGATGCTATTCAAAACATAAAATGAATCATAAATTAATCTAACTGAAACATTACCATCAAGCTTACATTTCAAATTCAAAGTGAAATAGAACAAAGTAAAATCTTTACTTAACCCTATTAATTTAATAAGAAAATTTGACATTTAATCCTTTAACAAAAAGTTAAAAAGTTGTATAATAAGTAAAATAATTGAAACAAAAAAATTTGAGTTTAAAATTTTGTATTTAAGGTAAAAAAATTAAAATACTTAGAATTTTATATATTAAAATAGTAAAATTATTAAAATTACTTATAACAGTAATAATTTTTTTACTAGTCATAGTCATACTTTCCTCCATCGGTGGAATAAAGTGGATTATCAATGCCTCCCTTTCCCACTCCCACTTTTGCTAATCCAAGTGATAACATAACATTCCCAGTTTTATTGATACTGTAAAATCAAAATCAAAATCCAAGCTACAAACTTATTTTAATACTTGCAAACCAAAGCATTTTTCGTTTCACTTTGGGTCAATTTTCATTGCTTAAAAACATTGTTTCCTTTTAAAACTATACTTGCATTGCAATTTGAAAATAAAATTGAAAAACCATCAATCATTTTTTTTATTTTTAAAAAGAAAAAAAACTTTTTTTTGTTTTAAATAAAATTGAAGATATCAATATGAAGGAGCTTAGCGAACCACCTTTTGAAATCGACAAATTAATCTAACAATTATGGCATGAAAGTGAAGAGAAAGAAACAAATAAAATGTTCTTAACCTGAGAAACGAATTGTTTATACCATCAAAAAATTCATCGAGAGAGGTAATAGATAAGCTGTAGCAATTCTTGAAAAAAAGATCAAAATTCTTTTCTAAATCCCTAACCAATCCACCTACAAAATAAGAAAATTATTAAAAATATTAAAAAAAGAAAACATGGAAACAAATAACCTAATAACAAATAAAACTTTGAAAAATTAAAAGGAAACTAAATTGTTGTGCTTTAGACAAAATTGAAAAAAAAAACCAAAAACATAAAATAGAAACAAAAAGCAAAGAAACGATGGATCAATAGAAAGAAAAATAAAAGAGCTCTCACCTACCAATCCCATTATTTTTTTTTTTCAAACAAAAAGAAGATTTATTAATATTTTCAAATAAAAAAAAAAATCTCACCTCCCTTTTCTCCCTATCTTTTCTTTTGTCCTTTGTTACATAAAGAAAAGATGATTTTTTTTTCCTTTATTATATGAAGATTGTGAGATGAAGAAAAATAGGTTTTAAGTAAAAAAAAAAGGGGAAAGAAAGAAAAAAATAACTTTGGATGACACGTGGATAAGTTGAGGTGAAGTCAACGATAAGTCAAAGTTAATAAAATTAATAGCATGAACAATATAACGTTTAAAAGGGGCTTATAAATACAAGTTTTGACTTTTCAAATATCACATTTCTATATAAGAAATGTGGTTTTTGAATTTTTTTGGATTTTATTAAAAAATTACATATCAAAAGTAATATAAGGTTCAAAGTGAGACTGACAAATATGAGTTTTATCTTTTCAAAGATCACGCAAGAAATATAGTTTTTGAATTTTTTGAATTGTATTAAAAACTATGTATCTAAAGAAATATCAAAGTCTTTATTAGCTTTTCAATTACGTTTTTTTATGTCAAAACATGCTTTTCTAGATTTTTTGGATTATATTAAAAACTATGTATCTAAAGAAAAACCATAATTTTTGTTAGCTTTTCAATTGCCTTTTTTTAGGTCAAAACATGATTTTTGTTAATTTTTCGTGTCATAAACCTTTCCACATACTTAAAATACTTGCTTTACTAAAATACTTAAAATCTATTTTTTTTTCAAAAATAAACAAAATTAAATATAAAGATAAATTTGAATAAAATTAAAAACAATAAGTCAAATTTAATTCTCACATACTTAAAATGCTTACTTTACTAAAATAATTAAAATCTACTATTTTTCAAAAATAAACAAAATTAAATATAAAGATAAAATTTAATAAAATAAAAAACAATAAGTCAAATTTAATATTAAATTGAAATATAATAATAAATGAACCAAAAAATAATAAATGGATTAAAAATTCAAGAAATTAAGATTTTCTTCCATGCAACCTGACAAGTACAGGTTTTAACTTTTCAAATATCACATTTTTATACAAGAAACATGATTTTTGAATTTTTTGAATTATATTAAAAAATTACTTATAGAAAGAAAGAATATAGTTTTTGTTAGCTTTTTAACTACATTATTTTATGTCAAAACATGGTTTTTTTTTTTTAACTTTTCATGTTATAAACATTTCACCTACCCTTATCTCATTCTTTCTTTGGTTAAATCAAGTAACAACTACACCTCGTTTTCTTATATATTTTTAGAAAGAAAAAAAAAAGCATAAAAGAAAAGACAACCACGAAATAGCTACATAGGTTAAATTTTTTCCTTTTTTTATATTTAATTCTCTTACTTTTGTTTGTTTTGAACCCTGATTCACTAAGTCGGGATTACTAACTAATACTAATCTAATACTAATAGAATAGAAAAAATAGAATAGCAAATACTAATATAATATAAAAAAAGAATTATCTTTTCTGTATACCTTCCCTTATTTCATTGCTACCGTGGGCATTACGTAATCAATCGAATAATAGAGATATCCCTTCAATACAACATCGGTTGTCAAAAAGATCTCGAAGACTTACTAAAGCACGAAAGCTAGGATCTTTTAAAAAATAGATTCCTATTCGAAAAATGTATAATTGCATGGATAAAATCACAATAACCCATCAATTTGGTATCAGTAAGGAATTGGAAAGGAATACTATTAATTCATTTAGATACAAAGATCAAAACTCAAGTAATATAACATTTAAAGTAGGGTTGATAAATACAAGTTTTGGCTTTTCAAACATCATGTTTCTATATTAGAAATGTAGTTCTTGGATTCTTTAGAATATATTTAAAAACTACGTATCATAAGCAAAAGTGAAACTGACAAATACAAGCTTTTAATTTTTCAAAAATTACATTTTTATATAAAAAACGTGATTTTAGATTTTTTGGATTGTATCAAGAAACTACATATCAAAAGAAAGACTATAATCTTTGTTAGCTTTTTAAACTACATTTTTTTAAGTTAAAACGTAGTTTTTGGTTAACTTTTCATGTCAAAAACCTTTCACCTACCCTTCTCTTATTCTTAAAACTATAATCTTGCTTCTTGATCATTCTTTCTTGTTTTTCTTTAACTTTGTTTTCAATCAATCATCCTTTTTTACCTACTCTACAGGGTCTCACCTGCTCAAACTTTTCATTTCTTTCAAATGAGGTAAAAGAAAGAGAAAAATCTCCACAAATCTATTACAAATTATCATACTAGTGAGAAACAAAATGAAAAGAAAAAGAGAAAGCTAAAGATGTGGCAACTACCAAAGTAGGACGTAAAATGAAAAGAAACAAAAAAACGAATCATGTGGATCAAAACACAAAAAAAAAGGCAAATAAAGGTATAAGGGTTAGATGACATGGATAGACCGATAGCTCAGCAATTCTTCCAAAATTAATAATATGGATAAGAAATAAGCAATATCTTGGTGCAAAAGGTGTGTGTGCTACTGGGTTTATTTTCTTTGGGGTTTCATTCTCTTTCGATGCTAAGTAATAAATCAATTATAATTTAATAGTAAATTATTCATAAATTAGTAGTAAATTATTGATAATTTAATAATAAATTATTGATAATTTAATAGTATATTATTGATAGCTTAGTAGTGAATCACTGATAATATAATAATAAATTAATGATGACTTAATTATTAATCATTGATAATTTTTTTTAAAATTTAAAATTGTCAAGAATTAAATTTTGATTAGTAGTAGAAATAGACTTAGAAATTTTATCTTTAAGAGACTAGGATAACTCTATTGTAAACCTATTCAATAAAAAATTTAGTGAAAAAAATTTGAATGAAATAATAATATTATTGTATAAAAAGAAAATTATCTTATGCTAGAACTGAATCTAGGCTTTTTTATAAGAATCCATTGTTAAATATATGATGACATAAATTTTATCAATAATTATTAAAAGTATATCATAAGTTATCAAAAAATTACTAAAATTACATCAAAATATTTCTAAAATTTTATTAAAAATTACCAAAATTATATTATAAGTTATCAAAATTATATCGAAAGTTATCAAAATTTTATTAAAGGTTATCAAAATCAAAATTATATAAAAAATATCAAATTTTACTTGTATCATACCAAAATCAAAATTAAATTATTAATATTTATCATTATTATCATAGTTTAAAAAAATTATTTATTAAAATAAAATTTTAAAGTTTAAAATTACATGTGCGTCAACCACATATCAAAAACTAATGATAAAAGAAAAAAGAAATTAGTTAGATTGGCATATAAGGAGAAAGAAAACGATTTACAAATTTATTTACACATTATCTTTCGCTTCATGATCTAGTGACTACAGAAACTTGCAAAAAGATATATAAGTTTAGTGTCGATCTAAATCTCTCCCCTTTCTTCTCTTGTAATAAGGCTTTACTCCTCTTAAAATAATAATAATAATAAAAAAAAAGGTTTGTTTACACGTTTAAAAGTAGAAGAAAGAAAGAGGTTATATAATTCCTCGTTCTTGAAAAAGTGCATAATATTGATAGGAAGGAAGTATATATACTAGTGCGGGGGGTGCGTGCGCTATTGGGTTTATTTTCTGTGGGTTTCATTCTCTGTTCATTTTTCCAACAAAGAAAAGAAAAAGGAATGGAGAGTGATTCTGAGATGGTAGTATTTCCGTTGCTGACAACGCCTATCGAAACCAACTACAGGCCATGCACCATTCCCTACAGATTCCCTTCCGATAACCCTCAAAAGGCTACCCCTACCGAAATTTCGTGGATCGACCTCTTCCGCAATTCCATTCCCTCCTTCAAGTACCCTCTCTCTCTCTCTATTTTTAAATTCCCACTCTTTCTGTTTCTTGTTTCTTTCCCTTTTTATTTTGTTTTTCATTTGAGGTTCTCCCATTAACTTCTGCTCTAATCATTGTTTTTTTTTTTAATTACTATTCTATTGATTGATGAATTTTACTTTTTTTAAAAAAAATTTAATCAGGTTGCTTTGCTGATAATTAGGCGGTAATGATAAAATTGAAGGGTGAAATTTGTTATTTTTTATATTTTAAAAATTGTATGCTTTACTCTCTGTGTTTTCTGGAGATTTTGCTTATTGCTTCAATTAATTGTAGGAAACGAGCTGAGAACGATACTACTGTGGCTGATGCTCCAACTAAAGCTGAGAAATTTGCTAAAAGGTTTTGGCTTTTTACCCTCTCTCTATAAACCAAGTTTAATTGATTGCTAATAAGAATCTGCAACTGTCTCTCTCAGTTTTATTATCACCTTTGAATTTTTGTTTGCTTGATTTTTTTAAGGTATGCACAGATACTTGACGACTTAAAGAAAGATCCTGAAAGCCATGGTGGCCCACCTGATTGTATTGTAAGTCAGATTTATGGATTTCAAATGGTTTTTCTTGAATATATGTGTGTGGTCCTCATGGTAGTTTTGGGGTTTTGTAGCTTCTCTGCAGACTTCGGGAACAGGTTCTTAGAGAATTGGGATGTAGAGATATATTCAAGAAAGTCAAAGTGAGTATTGACATTTATGCTACAGCTTCCTGTGATGCTAAAAACTGTTGTTTTACATGCAAGCAGTCAGAATGCCAATTTTTAACTTTTTTCTTTTGATGAGTGAAAATATATCAGCTTGGATGGACAATGTTGGTGCTTTTTTTTTCATTTTAGTAAACTGATACTTTTTCAAGGAATAACAAACAAAATTAACATTGTGGATGGAGGGAAGGATTGTGAGCATACACTTGTTATAACCATCTTACAATTTCTATTGTTCAACTTGCAATGTGAGAAAAGGAGATGAAGGGGTAGTGGAGGCATCGGGTGTTAAGATATATAGTTGTTGGTGTTGTTGGCTGCTCCCTTTTTTATTAACGCCATTCTTCTTCTTTGGAAAACTTGCTGTAGGATGAAGAAAATGCAAAGGCTATCTCCCTCTTTCTGGATGTAGTTCGTCTTAATGATAATATTGAAGATGGAGGGAAGAGGCTGGAGAATCTGATTAGAGGAATATTTGCTGGAAACATATTTGATCTTGGTTCTGCGCAGGTAGTTATATTGATCTCATCAATCATCATTATTTTCAAAGGTATTTACACTTAGTATAAGTGGTAGACCGCATTTGATATTTTAGTTATAAAGTCACCATGTTTACTACACATCTCCATTGAGCATTGAATCCCAATTATCTGAGATAGCTAAAATCATTCGTCTTTGTAACATTTTCCACTTGGATCATGGTTCTTCTTTATTGTCACCATGGTCATCTTTGCCATGGATGAACTATCATTGATAAATGAAAATCTTCTGGTATATTTTGCCAATGCTATAACAAATTTCATGCAATCTGGTTAAGATGATTTATGTGGTATTTATACTAATTTTGAAAATAAGAGTATATCATATAGGGATAACTTTTCCGGTGGTACTTACTTTTTGTTTGTACTGTTTTACCTCTCCTTTTGAAGCTTGCTGAGGTTTTCTCAAGGGATGGAATGTCCTTTTTGGCTAGTTGTCAAAATCTTGTTCCTCGACCTTGGGTCATTGATGACTTGGACACTTTTGAAGCAAAATGGAGTAAGAAATCTTGGAAAAAGGCAAGTCCATACATAATGAATTTAGCAAGACATCTTTTCTCTTTGCAGTATTCACTATTTCAATGAAATTGAAAGTAGTTGATGCTGTTGTACTTGTGTCTCATTTCCCAACTAATTGTTTTTGTTTGCAATGGCAGGCAGTCATTTTTGTTGATAACTCTGGTGCAGATGTGATCTTGGGTATTTTGCCATTTGCAAGAGAGTTGCTTCGACGTGGGACCCAGGTTTGCAGTCAAAATCCCAAAAACTTTTTCATGTATATTTTCAATGACATAGATGTTATATATTATGTTACTTGGACTTGGGGGTGAGTGTCGGACATAGGTATGTGCCAACATGGGTACGATTAGATTTTTCTAAGTTCTTCCTTATATTCAGAGGGTCGAACCGCCATTCGCATGTCTGTTGGAAGTGTTGGACATGGGCATTTCAAGACAAATGAAGAGTTAAAGCAACATAGATTATATATATATATATATATATATATATATGCATGTGTGTATGTGTATGTGTTACAAGTTCATTCACTTCAGACTGTTTATGTACAATATTGTAAATAATAAAGAAGAAAGGAAGTTTCAAAATTTCTCATACATATTTTCACGGTTTCAACAATCTTAAAGTCTGTCTCAGATATATTTACATTGTCATGAAGCTGTATCCCTGCATTCATTTTAATAGTACTGTGTATGTACATACAATGATGCTAATACTAGATTAAACAATCATGGCTAAATGACAAGATTCTGAGTTACTCAGTATTGTTTTCTCACAATGTTTGGTTTCTTGTTAATCACAAAGTCAGAGTACTTATAGATTTTGCTTTACAAAAACATTTCCTGTTTCCTGTATGATCAATCTTTGATCTATACAACAATCTCAAAAATATCATCTTAACTAATGCTAGCTATTCATTAGAAAAAATCAATCAGAATTATGTTTGCTATTTTTTCCTTTGCTCAGGTTGTTTTGGCGGCTAACGACTTGCCTTCCATCAATGATGTAACTTATCCTGAACTGGTTGAAATTATATCAAAGGTGATGGAAAGAAAAACAGTTTTAGAATTATGATCATTTTGTTTTTTTTTTTTTTCTCTTCTTTTAGTTGACTCTAACATATTAAATGCAAATTTACCAGTTGAAGGATGACCATGGTAAGCTTGTTGGTGTTGATACCTCAAATCTTTTGATTGCTAATTCTGGTAACGATTTGCCGGTAAGATATAGTAGTGCTATTTTCCTAATGCACCCAAACTCATTAAACAGTACATATGTTGGTTATTGAAGTAATAGCCTCATCTTTGCAGGTTATTGATCTTACAAGAGTATCACAAGAGCTCGCTTATCTAGTGAGCGATGCAGAACTAGTTATTTTGGAAGGCATGGTAGGTTTTTCATAGTCCACAACTTTAATGAAGTTACGACTAGTAGATTTCTGGTTGAAAATTTTTCTTTGTTTGAAAATGTAAGCCAAAATTTAACCCAGCTATTCAAATAGTGTCATCTATAGTCTAAATAGGTAACTGTGAATTGATTATAATTTATTTGTTTATAGATTGCATCAGTGTTTGACATGTTTAATGATGTCAATGATAAAAATCTTTATCATGTATTGGTTGAATAGGTCAACAGAGTTGCAGCTATGGTTTAGATTTTGTTTAGTTTAGGTTTGGTCATCATATTGTATAAGTGGAGTTGTGTGTTCTATGCTGGGTTATATTCTTTATACATTCATTGCTTTATTTATTGCAGGGTCGTGGAATAGAGACTAACCTTTATGCCCAGTTTAAGTGCGATTCGCTCAAGATTGGAATGGTAATAGTCTTACCTCTCTCTGCATTGTTTTGGCAGCCATTTCAGTTAATGCACACTTATGCAGAATTCCATTAAACTTTATCTCGTTTTGCCATTTTTCATAGGTGAAACATCCGGAAGTTGCCCAGTTTCTTGGAGGACGGCTGTATGATTGTGTCTTTAAATACAATGAAGTTTTGGGTTGATAATGCCATTCTTGCTTGATTCAATATTGAGTGTCAGGTCGTATGGCCTCGAAAACTTTCGTTTGAACATCAAAAGCTCTCACTCAATCAATAATGAAATGTGAAAACTACTTACATGCACTTGATTTTTTATTCTATGCATGTAAACTTGGATGCTGAATCTCTGTTGCTATGAATTATTTTAGAGAAAAAATTAATAATGCTGAGGCTTTTTGCTTGCTTATCACCTGATCATGATTTTGTTAAATTAAATAAATTCTAAGGGGCCCATTCGGTGGGATGATCTCACATTTAGACTTATAATTTGTGTATATGAGTTATCTCTTTCATGAACGCTTACTAAACATGAAAATTGACTAATTGTTGTGCCAAATTAGCATTGATATAACTAATATAAAATATATTTTTTAAGTTTTTGTCAAATTAGGTTTTGCTATAATTTTAAAATGTTGTTTTCATGTTATTTTATATTATTTTTGTAATTTGTTACTGTATTGTATTTAAAATTATCTGATTACATCTAGAAAGACAAAAGATTATTATGATTAATATTGCGTTCGGTTTTATTTTTGGTGAATGTAATATGTTCAATTCAGAGAGGAGAATAACGTCAATGCCTGCAAATGTTTCCGTGTGTACTCTGGTTTAATTATACTTATATATATCATCATAAAATAGGGTATACGCTGGTTTGCGTTCTTAATTAAAGATTAATACAATGTTTTTCAAGCGAAAGCCATTTTATTGAGGAATGAACATGGCAAAAGTAGGCCCACAAACTTTATCAATACAAGGTACTATGGAAAAAGCTTAAATGAAGAAAAAAAAAATTAAGTTTTCTTGAACAGCGAAATCCACATGTTCAGGTCAGTTCTTCATTTCTTCTTAGTAGGATACGAAGCCATTTTGTTGATACCACAGAGACCTTGACGTTTTCCAGTGTTCCTCTTCATCCTTATGTACCCTTTTTCTCCCCATTCGGGTCCCCAGGAGTTCTTGACGATGATGTAATCTGACCCCTTTGATGTTCCGTAGCCAACTGCTGCTACTCCGTGATCTAGTTCAGTTCCACATGGCCCGTTGAATAAACCCTGTGAAACCCCCCCAAAACATTTCGTAAATCTTGAAACGTGAATAGTGTGATCACAGATCATGTAAAAAGCTAACAAGCTTACCCCACTATAGAATTGGAAATCTCTGCCAGAAGCCTCAATGGCTACACTGAGTGGTTGGTGAGCCAGGGCTTTCAAGAGACTTTGCTCATCATTTTCTGGTACGTCGTGGTAACCACTAATTGTCACGACATCCATTTCCCCCTGACATGATTAATCAAACAAGCAATTGCTTACATTACAATGTAGGCGTAGCTTTCATGAAATGCTTATTAATATTAATATACATTTACCTTCTTTCCTTCACAGGTGCCTTCTTCCATGAGGTACGGGTAGTCTTCCTCTTTGTGAAGTCCACCATTGGCGACAATGAACTTAAATGCATAATCCATGAGACCTCCATTGCAGCCATTGTTGAAAGATGTATCGCAATCAATCAGTTCTTGCTCGGACAAGGAAGTTAAGTTTCCTGTTACTATCTTGTTTATGCCCTCAACAGCTGCTACCGTTGAAAAAGCCCAACAGCTACCTGCATTCATGTTTACCGATGTTGTCATAAAAATTGCTATGCATTGATCTCAAGAAGACCATTTAAGTATGCAAAGAGAGAGAGAGAGAGAGAGAGAGGATATGCTTACCGCAAGAACCTTGATTCTTGACTGGGGTAACAGCTCCTTTCTTTCTCCAATCGACAGACTTTGGCAAGTCCGTCACATCTCTGTAAGTGAAGTCTCCAGGTGATTGGGTCTTTCTGAAGACTTCTGATTTGAGTCCTAAATACTTGTTCTTGAACTCCTCATGGCTCAAGTCAGCAAACTCATTCAACCCAAGCCAATAGCTACTGATTTCCTTATTCCTCTTGTCAATGTGCTTCAAGTTATCCTTGAAAACCTCAAACCTCAGAAGCTTCTCTTCAATGGATTCATAAATTTTCCCATGCTTCGATATCCATGATTCAAAGAGCTCAGTAAGTTTATCCGTGGAAGTCAAATGCTCTGGTGAATAACCCACTATGGAGAAATCATGAGCCAGAGCAGAAGACATGAAAAGTGATGCAATGAATGTTAGAATGGAGAATTTGGAAAGCAAGGAGAGAGCCATTTTTTCTGTTGATAACTCTGGCTTCTAATAGATGTTGAGAAGAGTAGATGGGTGGATTTGAGGATGGGATTGGGTGGTTATTTATAGATTTAGCTTTGTATATTGCTTTCAAGTTATGTTGGAGAAAATGGTTCTAGAATACTGAGCCTTTACGTTTGGTTCTTTTGACAAGCTTTTCTTCCAAGTATGCTTATTAGGGTTAAGTTTCGTCAAAAACAAAATGATACCTGAATCGCGCTTTCCAATTGATAACTTGACGAGAGCGAGCTTGATTGGCAGGTAGGAAATTCGTAGTCTCATCTTCTAAGTTATGGAAACAGCTCATTGTCAGTTGGCTGTAGCATTTCCATTTTCAGCTTGGCCAGAAATAGTATGTTCACAGATATTAGATAATGTGTTTTTTTTTTTTTTTTTTTGGTTTTTTGCGTGCATAGATCATGTGTAAGAAACCTAGGATAACAAAAAAAATAAGACAGCCAAGTTTGGAACATAAAGTAACAATCTTTACTCCAGAATTAAATCGGAGCATCGAAGAGAGTAGGAATGGACTTCCATTTTGGTGTTTAGAATCTCACCCAGATTTAGGGGGAGCAAATCATATTGAAGCATGTTAAGGAATTGAGATAGAAGTAAAAAACCGGCTTTTATATTTGCAAGTTCATGATTATGACCCTGCTCTTCTTTTTTATCTTGTTTTTTTTTTTACGAGCCATGTTTTTTTATTGCTTTGAGTTGTTGCTTTTTCATGATTATTATCCTCTTTCTGATTGTTTTGCGGTGTATTAACCTGAGAAAGTAGTTATATAGACTTTATTTTTGTGCTTCATATGATTCCCCTGCTCCATATATTCTCAAGACACATAGCCAGGCGCCGTGTTTTTTCAGCTGAGACCGACCGGTATTGGGTACTTTATATATCTGGCTTCCAAAGTAAGGTCTCATAGGCACACATTTGACATTCCTTCGAACACCAAATTATCAGTATTGCGTTACCACTGGATAACTCAATAATACACATTTTGGATTTTGCAAAGATAGAAGTTGTCAGCTCAAATTACTGAAGATGTCAGTGATTTTACATATGAAAGTTCTAATATCACCTTATACCCCTCAACTATCTAACTGCTTAAAAAAGGTTAAACAAAGAATAGGAAACTGGGAACTTACCAGCTTAACAATTTTGAACAAAATGAAACAGAAATTAAAAAAAAAAAAAACACTTTTCACCTTTTCGCAAGTGTAAGATTCTAATGAAATAAAAGAAATAGGAAACAAATACGGAATGAAAACAAAAACCTCCGTACACAAGACTTTACAATGTCGGGGCAACGCAGCACAAGAATTCACTATCTTTGCAGCTTCCCGGTAGAGTGTAAGTATACCGACACCGAAACAACACTGCAATAACAAGATAAATACAGTAAATAAACATAATTACTATGCGTTGTGATCTGGATGAAATGCTTTACTCCCTTGTGTGTGAGAAACATGACCTTTTACCAAGTAGTGACATTCTGGATCATGACAGATGCTATATTTGAATTTTGCAGAGCTTAAGAGACTCTATTAACTGTATGGATATTAAAACATGGCCAGAGATAACTTACGTAGCACCAAGGAAGAAAGCAAGGGTAAGATGAAAGCCAAACAGAAACACTGAAACAACAGCTGTAAGAAGCACTGCCACCGAAGTAGAATACACCTGCACAACATTGGGAAGTTAAATGAACATTGGAACTTCAACTGGAGGATTCAAAATGGTTACTAATGCTTTATGCATGCACAACACATTCCTCGTACCATTTGAGCCCTTTTGTTACTTTGAGTAAAAAGACTGATGAGTACTTTATGTTTAAAAAATCATTTCAATGAGATTTGATCCATAGAAATATTTTTAATTTGGAGTGTGGATAAATTGTTCATGGGACGCTAAAGGTCTGTCATTATGAAGCCACAAAATCATTCCTTACCTTCGATTTCTTCCGAGCAGGCTTCTAATATGCAGCTATAGAAGAATCTCAACTTATTATTAAACCTCAAACGACTCTATTGGGATCACACCAACCTTGTAAATAGTATAATCAACGGAGACAGAAAATGAAGCTTTTGCTCATTTTAAATAAAGCATCTTATTTACAGGTTCCAGCATCAAGAAAACTGGCAGTTACATATAACATATGCAGCGGAATGAACAAGTAGCCCAATCATCTTGAGAAAGGACCAGCAATTTCCTTCATTTTTGATCGAACTACAAATATATGTCCATGCAAATGCATGAACATTACTCTCTGGAAACAACCATGACATGCCTAACTCATAAGATTCTTACATATCATAGAGGTGAATGTGAAAGCAGACAAATGAATAATTGACTACATGTAAATTTTCATTTCAAGCCTTACCTTCACAATATTGTCTGCATATTTCATTACCATTGATACGGCGATGCCACTGCAAATGGAACAATTACATAAGCATGTTTAATTAAAGCACAACAGGGAAAATAACAGGCCAGTACTCATATAGTAGTTCACCGGGACAAGGAAAATGATCATCACAAATCTAAGCTCTCATTTCATAAAGAAGATATTTTTAGGCAGATGTCAGAGATTCTTATTACTTATTTCTGTAGTTCAGCTATAGCAGTGCCAACTGAAGTGCAGAGTTAGTTTGTCCAACTTCAGATCAAGGGTTAGTCCATTTCTTAAAGTATTGAAGAGGAGAGGCAGATCAGGAAACAAAAGGCTAGGCACCCCAAGAATAGTGGTTGTGTAGCTCATTACATTTTAAATATGCTATTCTGACAGTTATAAAATGTCAGTCTGTCAAAATTTATTCAACATAACTATCAGAAAAAATTGCAAGATCATCCTAAATACAATCTCTATTGCAAAAAAATTAGTGGAGTCGGCAACTAGCCGCTGGAAAACTTGATCAAGCCAGAAAGGAGAATGTAAATACCTGAGTGCATGGTTAAGGATCATGAGAGTGGTAATTATTGAGTATCCGTGGAAGAAACCCCTGAGCAAATGAAACATATTTTGAAATATAAATAACTGACAAAACTTTCTAGGAATTATGAAGTTATTCAAATAGAACTCTATTTTTTAAGTGCTAAATAGAGGATTCATCCCAGCAGCGTAAGGAATAGATGCATCAACAAGTAATGAGTCACATACATGCATATACATGCATGACTTGCAGAGTCAATAAAACCATTTCTAAGATAGGTGCCAGCAACAGATTAAAAGGCTCAGATTACTTGTTCATGACAGCATCAAAATCTTGTATTAGTATTGCTACAGCATTGAAGGCCATTCCAAAGATATACAACCAGAAGTTCTGCACATTTATATTCCTCGTTGGGCGCTTCTTAATTATAGCCTGCCAGCAGACATGAATGTCAATGACAATTAAAAATTTTGGTAGTTGCATTCAGCAGAAACTCCGCATGCTTTTAATTGAATCAAGACTTTTTCATTGATTGAGAAGAATTATAAATCAAATAAATTCAAGCAGAATCAGATCAGGCAACATTTGACTAAACATCTGAAAATTAAGTAATCTTCTAAACAAGGATGCAGCTTAAAAAAGAAGAATTGCAACAAGTATCTCAAAAAGTTTACCTCAGTGTATACTCCTGCAAATCCACTCAAAAGGGCCATCACCTGCAAAGATATATTTTGACTTTTCAAATTTTGACTTCGAAGCAATAAATAAACCTCACTTTCTCCTTCATTGGAATAAAATACCAAAACACTTTTCGGCAACTTACAATGGCCATTATCCAACCTTGCAGAGGTGTTTGAAGAACACGATCAGAACTACAAAAAAACAAAGCCATTTAATGATGCAAGCTAAATGATAAATTTAGCATAAAACTTATAATTATTCCAAATTAAGAACAGCAGCCCCCATCCTCGCTGAGCATAATGGCTAGTAACTGAGATATTGATTATCATTTCAAATACTCTACTTATAACCATATAAAATATACAAGTTAAAATTCTTCAACCGTTACCTGTCAATTCTAGAAAATTTTCAAGATGCAGTAGACACATTCATCACTTAAACCATTACACAGCAGCAACAAGACAATTTCCAAGGTCAGTAAGTTTGCATCAAATTAACAAGCATATGCTCAGAGAAGAACTATGGACCCATCCAATCAAAGGAACAATTAGAAAGGTTTTATCACTCTTACCGAGAGTTTAGTTGCGCTGTGGTGCAGCCAGCACATAGAAGAATAAAAGCTGCCCATTGAATCTCGCTTAATCTGAAATCAGAATATCAATTAGAGAAAAGGGATGCAATCTGAAATGTTGACAATACATGATTATTCAGGTGTATCTTCCACTTGAATGTATATTAGATTTATTTCATACTGTCAATTTCCATAGCCATGTTATGCTATACTGAATGATCAGCAGACATTTTCCATCAACTCTTTTCAATTGGAATTGCTCCCAATAATTACAAAAAACCCAATATGCATGGTTTTATGGAGCTTACTTTTTCTTAAGGATAATACGATACAAAACACCAGTGCTGATAATATTCAGGTTCTTCAGTATCTGATAACCCGGAGCATCAACATAGGCAAATATGTAATACTACAACATAAAATTGAAAAGCACATAAAATTACATTACGGAAAATAAGACCAAAATATCATTACTCACAAGACAAACAACAATTAGAGTCCACCTGTAGCAAATTCTTGACAAGATAAAGTACAGCAGGAATGGGATAAACAATAACTTCATCAAGGGTTGTACTCAACCTGGTTCAATGACAGATAGAAGAAAAAAAATGTTAATCATCTCCATTATTAGCAAAAGGATATCCTTAAGTGATCACAAAGTAAACTTACCTGTTATCTTCTGTAACACCTTCATTTTTCCATATTTTTGCCAAAGCTGCAAGTGATAAGGCACATTTCAAAGTCTCCACCTGTTTCCCAAAATAAAAGTAGTTCAGTCCCCTGTGCATCATGTCAAGTCAAACTCAGGATGACCATTCCACTCACCAAAAAGTTTGCTGTGGTAACACTATACTCATACCTCCCAGCTCTCTTCGACCAGACAATAAGAATTGCTTGTGAACTTGTAAGAAAAGTCAATGCGAGTGTAACAACTGTCCTACTCAAGAAAAAAAAAAGGGAACAGAAACCATCAAAAAATATATTTTCTGCTTTTTTTTTCTTATTTGAACCTAACAGTTACTAAAATGCAGATTATAAATGTTGCTCTTACTTGCGTTTCCACTTGGCCTGTTCCCTTGTAGGCACATTACTTACAGAAGCTGCATATCAATGGCAATTATAACGGAAATGAGACAACAAAATAAGGTAAATTTTGTGCAATGGAAATTGATTACCATTCAAATATTATCTTTAACCAAAACATACCACCCCCCGAAAACACTTTGCCTCGAAGATTCTCAATGTCATCACTTATTGTTCCTGCATCATTATCCTACGAGTCACAAGTCATTCAAACAAGAAAAAAAAAAAAAAACCGATTAGATTAGATAACTTTATGATGTCAATATCAATCAAACGAGAACAAATTTCACAGCTTTGCAAGTAGATAGTATTTCTTCAATTGACGAGTGAAACAATAAATCACATTGTTAAACTAAATTTACTTTAATCAGAAATACTCTTACTGGATAGTTGTTTACTGCGCTATATATCAAAATAAATGACAATTATATCAATTTTTTGAGGAATTTATGACGAAAATGGCCATCAGATTCACAGAATAAACTATATGAATAACATAAAAATATGATCAAACGAGTGCTAAACAAAAGGAAAAAAGACGCTAGTGCCGTTGAATAAACTACAAATTTTAGCCAAAATCAACTTTAAAATATCAGTGACAATGGATTTTAGTTCGCGTCCAAATGTGATAATAGAGAAAGTTGCGACGAAAGAGAAACGATAAGAAAAAAGAATACCTCATCTTGGATTTTGCGATACTCCATTTTCGATGCGGCTTCCACCAGATCTCACTGTTCAATACTTGGGCTTGCTATCTGTTTTTTTAAGGTTTTGTTTATTAGGCTTCATTTCAATTTGAGTACCTATATAATAAATATTAAATTTATCCTTTATTAAATTACAATTTTACCCTCTTTTTCTTTTTTCTCTTTTCTTCCTTCTTCTTCGTCCTTTTTCATCCTTCTTTTTCATATGCCCAGTTGAATTTGGCTTTTTTTATGTTTTCGAAAACACAACATAATTTTTTAAATCTATTTCCAAAAATTATGATATATTTTTGGAAATGAATTTTAGGAATTTATGTTGTAATTTAGAAAATGAGGTTTCTTAAAAATAGATTTTTGAGAACTTTAAAGAATTTTCAAAAATGCATTTCAGAGTCTTAAAAGTTTTTTTGAAAATTCATTTATGATAAGCTTAAATTCTACGAAATTTTTTTCATAAATCTTAACCTATTTTTGCATATATTTAAACCAAATTAAACAAAATAAATCTCAAAGCCTTACTTTTAATCAATAGAAGACTTTTTAAAAAATGGAAATTTTGGGGTTAATTTTATGGATTTATGGTTAATTTGGCTTTGAGATTGAAGAGAGAAGGAAGAAAAAATATTTAGGTTATGAAGGAAAAATCAATTGTTGAGGAATGAGGTGTTTTAAATAGAAATAAAAAAAATTTTAAGTTTGAATTTGAGATGTATTTAGTAGTGTGGTGTATAAAATAAAAATGAGAATATAAATAAAATTTTCTTTTTATTTATTTATATTTAATAAAGTAATATAATTTTTCCACCTTATAATTTTCTTTTGGACTTCAATTTTCAAAATATTAATTTTTTAAGTAAGATGTCAATTTATAAATTTGAAAAGATGTCATAAGCAACAAACAATAATGATTTTATAAAAAAAAAAATCAAGTAATGTAGTAAAAATAATAGTGAATGTGACAATGTCATCCAAAATCTTGTAAACACTCATTTTTTTCATAAGCATTCCAAGTTTTATGTTTTCAAAATATTGGTTCCGAATTCAACTGCTGAAGACAAGAAAGCGAAAAGGAAAAAATGAGAGGAATTACGTGAGCAGTAATTAAACAAAGAGAGAAAGATGAAGACCTTGCAACCGACATCCCCAGCATGGTCATTGGTACCCTACACCCACAAGCCGCCTTAAATTTTTTTGGCCGCTAAATGCCGTCTCCCCACGTTTTTTGGCACCTCCTCATCCCAATTCTTATCTCCTATGGTATTTCTTTTTTATTTTTACAAAAAATCTAATTTCTTAAAAAATAACGTTTAACATATTGAAATTATCTTTTGTAAATCAAATTGCGACCTTATTGTATTACCCTTTTATGGTTTGCCCTTCATCCCATTTATACATTTTTGCCTATTTCTCAAGAATTTATAATCAAACCATTAGTACAAAGATTTTGAAATATAAAGTTGGCATTGTCCTCACTTTATTTCTTTGCTTTGTGTTATTGTAATTTTGTAAATGAATAGACAACGGATCTACCTTTGATTAATGACTAATCAAACACCTAATTTGACAATTTAAGTCACCACAATAAACAAAAAAGAAAGAGACATAAAAAAAATAAAAATAATAAAAATTGCTAATAAATGATGAATACAATCATGCATGGATCCCACTATCACCATCATTGCTTTTCCCTTGCAAAAACAGAATAAAACAGCCTGTAATAGAGCTGTGAGCACAACATTTTACCTTTCTCTCTCTTCTCTTCTTTCTCTTAGCAAGAACGCCACACGATCAACCATTCCCACTCGCTTGGGCGTTTCTTGTTCTTGTCAGAGAGCCACCATGAGCTCTATTATCCACAACTTTCAAAGGAGCCAAGCACTCCCTGTCTCTCAAACTGAATCAAAAGAGCAGCTGCCGGGGCTACGAAGAAGGCTTTCCTCTCTGTCTCTTAAACTACAGCCTATCTCTTGTCCAGCAGCGTCATGGACATTCCCCAGATCAAAGTCTTTGTCTTCCATGGGAGAGTATGCTGGTAGCTCCATCAGGAAATGGTGGGACTGGGGCTGGTCTTGGGTTTTGTCCAGAAAGCCCATGTTTGCGCAGGACCTTGAAATGAACGAAGAAGAAACTAGGGTTCTAGGCTGCCACAATAAAGGCAGCTGGAGACATGTTTTTTACAAGGTTAGGTCTGAGATAAAAAACTGGTGGGAACTGACAAAGTTGGCCTCCCACAAACTTACAGGTACGATGCTTTAAACTACGCCAAGAATTTTGACGATGGAAAGAAAATCTATGGTTGATCATTCGGAATGCATGAATGGAGGTGTTCAAAGAAAGCTTTATAGGGAAATTAATAAGCAATTCATTGCTTCATTATTCAGATCATCAGAAAGACTGTAGAATTCTATATTTTTTTGTCTGGCTCTTGTTTTTTTTTTTTCTTTATTTGGTTTCAGCTTTCCTTTGATATTATAATGCAAATGTTGATTCGTGAAATGAAACATTAATGGCCTGTAATTAATTTGTTCTGTCATATGATGTGATTTTGCTTGGAAGGGAAGAGTTAAGACCTTCAACTACCTGTTGGTTTACTCGACTAATTGCATTCTTCTCTGGCTGGTGTCCAACCACACCTTCAAATCTACATTCTTCATAAATTCAAGTTAATTGGCCATAATTATGGCTATGGGGGTACCATTGAACAATAAGGAAGTTGTAGAAAGAGGGTTGTATTCACTGTGTTACACATCGTGATCTGTTAGCTGCAATCACAGTTGTTATTGTACTATAATTTTTTAATTTCATTATTTATTTTTGCAATGTAATATCGATAATTTTTGCTCTTTTAATTTGCAAGATATATTGATCTACGAAAATAAAATACAAATTGCAATTAAAAAGAGAGATAGAGTTTCCCACTCCAATCTCACTATAATTGCAACCCCATTATAAATATTTGCACAGATCTAGTGGTTTGTATGAGACTGAATTTCCAGTATTTTTGGGGCTTTTTTATGTAATTTAAGTTCTGATAACAACTGAGGCCAGATAAGCTTGAACGGGTGAAAAAATTTGGGTCGCATTCTCCACAAAACGTCGGTGCCAGAGACAAAAGTGCAATTCCAATCACTGCCAGCAAAGATGACATGACGATTATGATGACGATGATAATGAGACTTGAGACCAAGCTAAAGCTTTAGCTGTCCCCCACTGCTACAGATGTTTGCCGGCCAGTTTTCTTACAAAACAGACATAGATTCAAGTGCCAATGAAAGTATTGTGTTGGTGTCCCGAGTATCCTCCTAGAAAGATTGCCAAGTGGGGTTAGCACCGAGCATCACCTTGAATCATGCAAAAAAAGTGTCGGTGGTTAAATTTGGATTTATCAATTCATTCACTATTTTTTTTTCCTTAAAAAATATAAAGATTGTAGGAATATCATAATTCTGTGGTTGACTCTAATCTTATAATAAAGTCACACGGAGCCCCCAAATCAAGGACGAAATGGACAAAATATATATTTTAAGTAGGGACTTGAGAGATTAGTAATTAATTAGCCATCGGTGATGGGAGTGAAATGTGAAATTTGTGTTGGTAGTAGCAGGTAAGAAGGCAAATTTGGGTTAAAGGAATATACTTTTTTTTGGTATGGTTTGGCAGGACATCAATAGCTCCCTCCCTCTGTTTCTATAAAAACAAAAAAATAATAAAGGAAAACACAAAATGTGTGGGACAGTAGTTATGGACCTTATGGTGATGCATTGTCCATAAATATTTTGGTGGTTATGAAGCTGCAAGTCACATCAACATGATCAATTGATCACGTCAATACATATAATAGAAGCATTTTGATAGAATTATCAATTAAATTGTTATTAACATGTAGATATTGTAAAGAATATTTAATTTTACATGAATTATATGTAACAATTGAATTTCAAATTTTTTTGGGTGCATTTTTTAATCTCAAATTCTAATTGAATATAAAGATTAATTGTATAATTTGATTAAAAAAGCTAAAATGTTGATTAGTGAGTAGGGATAGCAACTTCCCAGCTTCTATCTATTATATGTGTTGAGGTGGCATTTTATATTTTATTTAAAAAAATTAATATCATTAATTTGATCAAATACAATATTAAAAAATCAATATCCTTAATTAAGTTTTTAAATTTTGAAAAAGCATTCAAAACCAAATTAAAAAAAAAATTATGCATTAATCATTGAATCTAATACTTGAATATTCTTAATTAAGTGCTTTTGAAGTTTTTGTTGTATTAAATTCTACCTCTCATTTTATTTTAAAGGAAAAATATACCATTAATCCAAGGAGTACTTGGCTTTTATGACCGTTTAGATCGGCTATGAGTGGCTGCATCCATGGCAACTTTAGGAAAACCATTTTAATGTTCTTTTTTTTTTTTTTCCCTTTTTGGGCGAATACGTCGGCTGCTTTACTATTGGGCTAATTTCATGGAAACAAATGGCCATCAAAGCGGACCTGAAAACAACTTCACCTTAAATTTTCGGGCCCAGGTGGACTGCATGTAATAGCATTGGCAGTTGTAACTTCTCCGTGGGAACCGCCGATGCTTTGAGACCAAACATCAAACCCAGGATAAGATTAAAATAGAAGGACAGCAAGAATCAAAGATTGAAAATGGCGTTAGCGGCAAGCAGTGTAATATCACACAACAGAACCGTTAAATCCCTGGCTTTCCCATTGCCAAAGCATGGAAATATAGCGGCAAATCATCATCAACATCATTCTAAACTCGGTCTTCATTCATTTTCACACCCACAATACGTTTATCAATGCAGCAATAGTAGAATTTTCACCCCATCTTGCATAGCCAAGACTGCTGTTTCTGATGTTCAACTTCACAACTCCAATCTCACTACAGCTGCTGCCGATAATAGTAAGTTGTTATTTACTTGTTCCTTGTCGCTTGCTTTGATTCTTTTCTTCTTAATTTAAAGTACAAGTGATCGTAACTCTGTGTAAAGAAAACCCATTTTATAAACTTTACTTATTAGTTGGAAGGTACAATGAATGCGAAGTTGGTGTTGTATATTCTAATCGTAACCAAAGTATCTGATGTTGGTCTTCTTCTATTTGTCAAGCATGGTCAGAATTTGCTAGGAATGTGTCAGGTGAATGGGATGGGTTTGGAGCAGACTTCTCAATTGAAGGGACTCCAATTGAACTTCCTGAGTCTGTTGTACCTGAAGCTTACAGGGAATGGGAGGTTAAGGTTTATGATTGGCAGACCCAGTGCCCTACCCTTGCTGAACCAGGGGAGAATGTTATGACGTACAAAAATATAAAACTACTTCCAACTGTTGGATGTGAAGCAGATGCCGCAACACGGTATAGTGTAGATGAGAGGAACATTGGGGGTGTAGATAATAAAGTTTCTGCGTTTGCATATAAATCTAGTGGATGTTACACTGCTGTCTGGCCAGTTGCAGATAATGGCACACTTAAACTATGGGAGTTGGAGCATTGCTTGATCAATCCTCGGGATAAGGAGTCTCGTGTGAGAATATTTCAGGTTGTTGGTGTGGATGGTACAAAGTTTGTGTTACAAAATATTAGAGTGTTCTGCGAACAGTGGTACGGTCCATTTAGGAATGGTGACCAGCTTGGTGGATGTGCTATCCGTGATTCTGCATTTGCTTCAATGGCTGCCACAAAGGCTTCTGATGTTGTAGGTGTATGGGAGGGGCCTAATGCTGTTGCCGATTTTCATGGTTCTGGGGATGTGAGTGTAACGTCCTTCTTTGCTAAGCTTCTTTTTGTAGCTTGAATTCTTGCTTTAACATTCATATTTTTTCTTGATGGCGTAATATGTCTGGCTCTTTTGCTTGCCCTATTAATCTTCAAAGATAAAGAATTAGTACTTTTTTACTATTAAGTTTCAACTTGAACCATAGTAATGATGAGCAAATACAATACTAATTGGCGATTTTCTCAGAAATGTAGCCGATCCAATTGAGATCCAGTACATATGGACTGATAGTTGAGCTTCTAACCTTTTTTTTTTCCTTCCATGCATTATTGTATTTTATATTGAATTGAAAGTTTGAAAATTTTTTTGTGGATACTGTTGCTTTAGCTTCTTATTCTATGCTTTAAGTAAAATAACCCTTCTCAAGTGTATAATATGTCACCCACATAAGTTAGTTGTTTATCCCTCTTGATCATTAATAGGCAATTAGTTATAATTTGGATGAACAGAATGTTATTCTATAGCATGATCACTGTTTGTTGTGAACTTGTTTTAAAAACTCCAGAACTTTCTTCAAGAGCTCAAAGATAACGGGGTGCTGAAGTCAATAAGAGATGACAGCAATCTCATATTGCTTCCCAAACAATTATGGTGTTCACTAAAAGAAAGAGAAGAAGGTGAAACCTGCAGTGAGGTGGCCTGGCTGTTTGATCAGGGATGTGCTATTACATCAAGATGCAGCTTCTCAAGTGAGGGAAAGTTGAAGGCAAGTTTTTTTAAAGCTTTTTTATAGGATTCAAGTTTCTGATTTAACTACTTACCAAACACTAATATAGCTAACCAGAGCTAGGGGTTCAGTCTATAGACCCACTTGTTTAATTATATATTTTATGATAGAATTCTCATCTTTGGTCCTTTAAGCGTCAAATTACTTTTCAGGCCAATATGAATAAACTCTCTGGAGTTTTTTTGGGTTAAAATAACGTTAATGTTGCAAACCAAATGAATGATTTCAACTTGCTTTCTTGTTTACTAGTCTATATTATCGTTCTTTTTTCTTTTGGTTGGGTACAAGAAACTGAAAAACCTTTATGGCTGCTTTCTGGAAACTGGAAACCATTTCATGCTTGTAAAATACTCTTTGGCTATTTTTGCAGGAAGTTTCAATAGCACAAGAAACTACAGTTTCGGAGGGTGTAAAGCAAGCCACCAGATGATTTAAATCAGCATTAGTAATTTTATTTTTATCTTTTTGGAACTTTAGCGGACATTACTTACGGTTGAAGTCAAATGAAACCACAAAAATAGGAATTTCGTGCATAAATTGTAAAATTTTGCTTTTTTTTTTCTACAAATTTATGATACGTGCAGCATATGCATATGCTAGCTGTTGAAGGTGGATTATCCTTTAGGATGACCTTCAGCTATTCAATATCTTGTTTCTTCACCATGGCTTGTTTCTTGAACGTATGTAAATTCATGAACTTGTTCTAACTCAAATACGAACTCCTGGATATCAAATACGCTGTCAAATACCCGCATTTATGCAGTAAATTTTATTGGATGATAATAAAAGGAACAGATGGTAGGCAGGCACAGTTCACAAATTTTTTGAAGCTAACAGTAGTCTGCTGGTGTCTAGAAAGAGATTTGTCACCCATAATTGTGATTTTTGAGTTTTGGCTCTTACAAAATATCAGTTTGTACACTGAATGACAAATTGAGAAGGAAATCAACCCACTGCTATTTAGCAGTCAAAGAACCCCCTTTTTAAGTTTTAAGACTATTGCGGAATAGATCCGCATACCTGCCAATAACCCCAGGTGACATTCTAATGATGAGAATAGATATACTTAGCAATTGGGATATCACCTATCTGTTAAACAATTTTCACTTTGGCAACGTTATGATTACCAATTTAGGAACTGGTGCTTCTGCAGATACACAGGCTTGTCCATTTGCTCAGTCAAGCCCGAAAATCAATGGCCTTTGCATACAGGAAGAAAATAAAAACCAGTTTCAAAGCACAATATCTGCAAATCCTTTCCTTCAAAAATCAATAAAAAGCCTCAATTAAAAACATTTGCTAATAGCTTGGTAATTTGAATAACTGTGTAACACTTCACACTCCTGAAGTTTACAAAGCTTATGAATGGTCATATAGGATTATAAACCAATAGCATCTCAGTTAATCCTCTAACAAAGAACATTCCATAACCAATTCTTCAGTGACGAAATTCTGGGGCATGAGAGGAACCAAAACTGTTTCCTAAAAGATTTGTCACGGATCATCTTCTTCTGGCTTTGCTTCACAATCTGCCAACAAGCAAAGATCAGTTTTTTGGACTAAGAATAGAGAGAACAGCCAGGTTTCATATAATTAGCAGAAGGTTAAAAGAATCCGCAAAAGGAAGACGTGAACCTGATTTTTTTTTTTTTCAGAGAAAGTGACAATTTTCATTTGTAAAATTCTAGTTGCTAGTCTGACACTGACACTGTCTAAAAACACATGCAGAAGTCTATCTCTCAATCCTTTAATGACTATGTAACATCAATACAACAACCTTGGTGTTTTTCAACTCATTATCAATCCATACAAATTATATGCACAATCAGAGCAGGTTCACTAATTGTGCACCAAAATTATCAAGTTTTTCTAATCTGTTCTTGATTCTTCACCGTAACTTCTAAAGTATCACAACTCTAAGCCACTTCAATGAGCAAATTACACCGTTGAATCTTCACTGATTACTGCATGAGTCTTTACAATTATACATTACAGACCATTTGAATTTTCAGGTTAGAAATGAGTTTGAATGTCCATTTAATCCAATTTATAACCTAAACAGACTAAACTGCAAGTTGCTTTATTTTACTTGTGCTTCAACTATCCCAAAACAAAAAATATATGATGCTTAAGAAGCTAGCCTGAGACTGGGTAGAGGATATTAGAAACCGAAAAGAGCATATAAATAGACGGTTCCAAGACACCTGTACATGATGTGCGTGGCTGGAAAATTATTGAGCACCTGGTGCATCTTTCATGCTCATATTCAGACTGTTTCGCATGGTTCGTCTACCAATTCCTGCATTGCCTTTTTGCATCATGGCAACAAATTCACCATAATCAATTCTTCCATCCTGAAATAAAGCAGAAGTAGCAGAAAATTGAACTTAGTCAACAAATGAAGCAAAAAGAATATCTATTCTAACTTTGAAAACAGTGCAACGTGGACTTGCTTGCCCAAACCCCACTGCTTTTGTCTAATGTAAATTGACATGGTATCATTGATGTCAAGTCATAGACAAAATTACCCATCTATAACATTTTAATACTTTCCCAAAGTAGATATGTAAACTGAAAGCCAACCATCCAGTAATGTTTCTATCTTTTTCCTCCCTGCTTCCCTTGCTCTCCCTCTTTCCTAGAAAGAAGACAACCTTTGTACCTCCTTCCCCTTTCTTTTTTTTTCCCCTTACAAAATTTAGGAACTGTAAACAGCAAGACGGTGAAGAGGTACTTGAAAATTCGACATCGTTGTTATCAGTATTCAGTACCATGCTCAACCATACAAGAAAACTATTATAAAGATTAATGAAATAAATTGGCTAGCTTGAGTGTATCGTTACCATCCGGTTTCAAGGTAAGATGACTTACATTATCTTGATCAACTTCTCTGATTATATCCTCAAGCAAAACATCTGTCATGTTATGTTCAGCACAGGCTTGCTGAAGCTCATCAACTGTAATATAGCCACTTCCGTCCTTATCAAAGTATTCGAATGCTGCAACGAGATGTTCCTCACGCTCTAGTTTATTAAGATGGACTGTTGCAGCTATAAATTCCCCATAATCAATGGTCCCACTATTGTCGACATCAGCCTGAGAAGAAATAAAATAGCTCAGATGATTGGGTTGCAAATTTGCAATTAGCAGATGAATAACATAGCAAGCACAGTAGCCACATAAGTCAATGTCACCCTTGCACAAAAATTTACCCACAAGCACAAGTAAAGACAAGCATTTTCAATCATAAGAGACTTTTCCTCTATCCCAAGATATGTATGATGAAAGGAAGTTCTTTTTCCTTAAAAATGCTTATGTAAGGATGGATGCAAACATAAGACACTCCAATTGGTTTAAAAAAGATCCCTGCTAGAGAGAGACTCTGAAGTCAGTAGTCTAAATCACATACCAAAAACTATTATTCAATTGGTTAAGAGGCACCTTATGGCTCATTAAGAAGAGCATTATTCACATTACAATTCGCCCCATATCTCAACCGCTATTTCCAATAAGGCGTTGCAACTTTGACCTTTTAACCCTATGCTTCTCTGTTAAAATTGCCTTCATACTAAAATTAAGAAAAGAATCAAGAGGGAACAGAGATGCAGCATCCCTCACAAATTCATGAAAACATGTAAGCTGACATTTAGACCAAAGGAACGAGAAGCAATACAAGATTTACTAAGCAAGAAGAAGAAAATAAATTAACAAAAGACTGAAAAATGAGCAGGAAGAAGAAAAGGAGATAAAAATGAAAATGAAACAAATATTTAGATTTCTGCTTCAAAACAAACTTACTGCATCCATAAGGTCCCGTATTTCTGTATCCTTCAAGGTAGAGCCATATCTTCGCAAACCAGCTTTGAGTTCATCAAATGTGATAGCACCACTGTTATCAGTATCCATAGCTGTAAACATTTCTCTCAAACCAGCAATCTCCTCCTCGGAGAGACTTTCAGCTATTACCTGATGGTACAGAAAGGGCAGAGCTTCCTCTGTCAGAAAGAGTTTGACTACATTAACTCTAAAGAAAGCATGTTTAAAGCCAACATGAAGTTCCATTGTTCTTGAGACTAATATCTAAACATAGTAAGTGCAAGAAGCTGCCAGACAAAAGGCATAGAAATATTTGAAAAAAATTGGTACTCGCGTTGTCTAATGAGACAAACAGCTTGCTTTTGCTGCATTAATTGGGTAATACTCCTTCAAGATTTGAAGAAAACATTGTCTGATTTATTTTAATTACTAAAATATTAGACAGATGCAGACTCAGACAAACACACATCTTGAGAATTTTACCCGTAAAGCCATCTTCTTTAGTTTGTTCATTGCTGAGAATTGCTTGAGACGAGAAAGTACAGCTGGATCCAGTGCCCTATCTGGGGCAACACCATTTTTACAAATCCATGGATGACCTAAACAATTCAAAAAGAAAACAATGTCACAATTTTGTTCTTTATTTCACTTAAAGAAAAAAAATAAATGTGCTGAGGAGCTAACAAACTATACTGACCAATAGAGCGAATTCTCACTTAACACTTAAGAAGAATTGTTCTGATTATACATTTGCTAAAACTAGCAATACTCTAGAGAAAGAACTGTATTTAATTACTGAAATATCCAAGGGCAGAAATGGAGAAGGTGCATAAATAAACTAAATAATAGTACTTATTGCTTTGTATAAAGGTGCACTATTGATTTTGGGATACATTTTCCGATAACAATTTAGCTGGGATTGCAAACACGCTAAAATATTTAGATCAACAAGAAAACCAAATTTGAAAAACATATTGAGCACCCCATACTGAAGCAACACCATGCATCTCTACATGATCATACTAATACTCAGCAGTTTACCAAAAAAAAAAAGATACTACTACCATGCCACATTCATCCATGCCGCAGTAATAACATAAAAAAGAAGTATCAAATGATAGAAAGCAGCTTCCTTCATTTAATATTTTTTATTGGTTCAAAACATTCATTAACACCAGCCAGACAATAATAGAGGGGTAAGAGGTATTACATACATAATACTTCATGAGCAGTCAGCCGTTCTGAAGGTCGAGAGCATAACATCTTCCGGATTAGGTCCTTCGCACTATCAGATATTACAGGCCATGGGTCTGACTCGAAGTCAATATGTCCTTTTAACACGGCATCAAATATTCCTTGTTGTGTTTCTAAGGAACAGAAAGAGGAAGGTTGTAAGTATATTACACATAGAATTAAATGAAAATGATGCTTAACCAAAAAAATCAGATGTACCTGCCCAAAATGGTGGCACGCCACTTAGCAATATATAGAGTATAACTCCTGCAGTCCATACGTCTGCTTCTGGTCCGTAATTTTTGAGAAGAACTTCAGGAGCAACATAATATGGGCTTCCAACCACATCAGTAAAAACTTGGCCTGAAGTAGTAAACCACACATTATGTTAAACAACTTGAATTTCAAAAAGACATTGGTTTCCTTTTTTTAAGATAATGGAATTTTATTTACCCAAAAGAAAGCAGATAGATCTGCTACATCAAAGAACTCAACGCTACTCACTATGTACAACAATTAGAAGAATGAAGAAAAAAAAAAACCACCATAGAGCAAACCCTAAGCTATATAAAATCAACAGCAAATTCCCCAATTCTGGCAGATGTATCCCTGCAACAGAAATTAACTTGCATCTAGCATCTTCCATCACACATTTGAACACCCGTTCTACATCTCTATATTGCTTCTTATGTAATCTGCGGTTCCATTCCATCCAAGTATGATATATAGCAGCACGAAAGACATTGGTTTCATTATCAACTTAAGGGGCTGAAATTACTCTGACTCCCTAAAGAAAGAAATTTGGGCTTTTCAATTATTAGGAATGTATTCTTCCCTGTAACCATTTAATAGGCATTCACAACATATACCCATTAAGGTAGCATGCATTAAGTTTAAATGTTAAAGGTTTAAGAATTGGGCTTAAACAAGGCCAAGTAATTGACCTACTAAAAGAGGAATAAGTAGTGGATTAAATATGCCACAAAAAGATTCTCCACTAATTATGTTCCAGCAACTTAAGTTGCTTCAAATTCAGTAAAAATTAAAAATTGCCAAAATTAAGGAAGAACAATCCATTGCTTACCTGGTTTAAAGAAGACTGAGAGTCCAAAATCAATGGCCTT